ATAATAATTTAAATTACACTTCTCATATTAATCAGGCAATCTTTTGCCAATTGAATTTGATTTATTGCAAACCCTATATCCTTCGAAATGGTTTGCAATTTTGTACAAGCCAAGCTTGTTATCAACAATATTTTATCCAAAACACATAGTGGTAAAATAAAATAAAATTTTTCTATTCTATAGACTATAGCACTAGCCATAGTGGAAGTGGCAGGATCTTCAGAATCCTTTAAATTTGCCAAAGCTGCCCTCAAAGCATCATAAAGTAGGAAAAAATTTACAATCGCCTTATATGATGTTAGCCAGCTTCTATAAATATAAAATAAACATTATATATTGAAACAATTAAGATAATATTACCGAGTGGTATTCTTGATGCGTAAAAATCTATGTGATTTTGTCAGTAAATCACTCTGACATGTTTTGAGCACTTCATATCTTTTAACACCATTAAAATATACGTAAATATCGTCTAATATTCCCAAGACATTTCGCAGCTCTTTTACTGATTGGCATAATTGAACAACTATTAAATTTAATCGATGACAATAGCACCAAATAAAAGCTACCTTTGGCGCCTCCGCTCTAATCAAAGCCTGCACTCCATTAATTCTTCCACTCATGTTTGAGGCGCCATCATAGCTTTGCCCCACTAGGAATTCGAGGGGTAGATTCATGGAGCCAAGCTTGGATATTATATTCTTTTTAATATCGAGGTCCGTTGTATCCCGTACAATAAATGTCTATCAGCCTTTCAACGGGCTTAGGTGTCTCGCTATTTTCAACATATCTCACTATCAAAGCTATTGCTTCTGATTTCGATACATCATATGGGCCATCAACTATAATTGAATAGCACTTGAATTCAATCTCCTTTTTTTTTATAACCATATTTTTCATGGTTTCAATAAGAATATTTATGTTATTATATGATAACAGATTTGAATATAATTTAGATTTTAATCCCTTAATTTTTTTCTCACTTCTTCTTTCTTCATTATCTTGTATATACATTTTAAGAACAGGCTCAGAATCTGCAATAAGTTTAATAAGGCTCATCATATTGCCATCTTGTTGCCTGTTCCCCCAGAAGGCTTGATTGCAAATTAAATATCCTAGGCATCTTATTATTATTCTAACGATATAACGGTTATTATCGACACATTCCTTTTGGGGTATTATAAATTGTAATATGGAATTTTTATTGTGAGAAAGCCTTCCATAATCGGCCATCATATGTGCCTCTGAAGATTCATGCACAATAAACGATTAATATTTTGCCATATATTAAGACCTTCACATGTCTATTTTGAATTTGAGTGTGGACCTCCAAATAATAGACATGTTAAGCAAAAAACTTTATTCATTTTAATACTATATGTAATCCAATTTCTAGTAACTTTGCTCTTGTCAATATTAGTTTTCTCATAAAAACTTTCATTAAAGGATCTGTTTCTATTTATAATATCTTTGGGGAATAAATAATGTTTAGGTTGGAGAGCTCCAATTCTAGATATTTATCAATTATAAATTTGTCAATTCTTTTTCCAACAATATTGATGGGATCATTTGATTCCTAAGAAAAGGGAGGGGGAGGGAAGATAAAATAAACATAACATATTTCACATTAAATCGGGGTTTAACTTCTTTTGCTGATCTTGATAACTCATTATTCTCCATTATTATCAATCCCACAACACCAGATCCAGATGGCATCTCTTCTTGATGTTGATCCTTTTCTGTAACTGTAGTAGTGTCCATAATATTTATCTTTGACATGATAATAATTATAAATTTAAATTTATTTAAATTATCAGAGTCAGATATAATATTTTCTTCTAACATATTTTCATTATTAGTACACTTTTAAAAAAATAATCATATTAATAAAAATATTTATTATACCAACAGCATTGATTTGCCAATTTTTACTTCTTTTTCCTTAAATTGTGTTTTAATACCCTTTATAAATAAGTATAAACAATTAAATATTTAATAAAAAAAATTACTTTGCTATTTGTCCAATTTTGAGAAATATTCTTAAATGCCACTATTTCAAAGCTTTTCTTTATATCGTGAAAATTAAGCCCACCATGTCTTTTTCTAATATGATCTGTCCATTTATCATCTCTTATATTATGATATGTACAATTTTTAATCAAGCATTTATATTTTTTTTGGTTAATATTTTTGGGCATATTTTGACAATGATCTAAAAATTATAAATGATTATATATAAGATTTAATATTTAAATTTTTACTATTCCCTTTGATAAAATTTTAATTTTGCGTCAAATCTTGAAAGTGGAAAAATAATTTTATGATAAGAAATCGGATAACAAACTAATTTGCTAAACATCGACCATTAAAATTTTTTTTTAAAATAAAAAATTAAAAAATTTTTTTAAAAAAAGTACCCCCATAGAAATTTATAGAAGCAGTTGCTTCGGACCCCCCCCCCGTTGTAGGGGTCACTGGGGGTGGTATCCAACAAATTTTCTGTCAAGTAGACGCTGATAGTCTCTTTCATGCATGGTCATAAGTTTGGAGGAAAAATATTGGGTTTGGTCTTTTTTACCCCATTAAATTTACTTCTCCCCTATCTTCTACATAAATTTTGAAAATATTTTGAAAAATAAATTTTAGCAAAAATATTCAAATATCCTTTTAAAAATATGGATTAAAAATATAGAATAAGAATTTTTGCTAATTTTCTTGAATTTTAAAAAAAAAATCTTTTGTTTGCTAAGGTAAAAATTTAACATAATTTCTTTTTGAATTTTCCGATTTATTATTATTTTTTTGGATTTTTTTCAAAAAAAATCATTTATGTAAATAATTTAAGTATATTTCATCTTTCTAAATCTAATATTTCTCTAGAAAATTGTTGTTTCTTAATAAGAACTTTGATAACTACGTGTTACAAAGGGTTTTTTATTCTAATTTATAAATTTTAGTTATTCGAAAAATATAAACGAGATACATCTAATATTATATATTTTTTAAAACAAGTTTCATGGAGATTCATATACATTTTTTTTGCATGCCTTCCAAGTATAATTTTTTTTGTACACATAGATTTAATTTTCTGATATAGTAAGGGCAGGGATAGTGTTATCTCGAGGCAAGCAATTTCTTCTCAAATAATTTTAAAACTATAAAAAACTTTGATTCCGTAAATGTATTTTAATACGATGCTTCAATGGTTTTAAAGATGTTATATAGAAATTAACGAAGTTTTAAAACATCAAAAGTAACTTTATAATTTTTTACATTTTTACTAATAATTTTTTTTTAAGGTTTCACAAATCTATGATAAAATAATCTCAATTTTATCATATTGACAATTATTATGGACATTTAATATCTTGCAATTAAATTTTAATCAAATGTGAAAATCTGAAGTAGGTTTTGGCTAGGTGCGAATTAGCCAAGCAGGGAAGGAAATATTATGAACAAAAGTTTTGAAATTCGTAGTATGAAATTGAGAAACTAATTAAATTTAGAAATTAATTAAGTTAAGGTCTGATTTCTTTACAAAAATTATAATTTTCTCATTGCAGTATATATAATTAAACATAATTTATTATATGATCGTTTTAAGTACGATTTCTTTCGGGTGATATCTGTAATATAGACGAACCTGGTAAATTTAACGTATTTAGCAATTTATTTTCATTTATTTATTTAGCATTAACATTTTATATAAAAATATTTTATTTAAAAATAAAGAAGTTCTATGACATGCAACGCCAAAGGGTAATAAGAACCTCGGGTAATTTTCATAATTCTTACATTTTCATTTTTTACATTTTACATTAACAAAAAACGAAAAGATTTTTTTTTCTTATACATTAATTTCTACCGTAGATATATATAAAAGAATAAAATTTCATTTAAACATTTTGAAAAATGCTCTTCATCTATTTTTTATAGTATCTCAAATTTTATGGACAATATAACCGGTTTATCCTACTCTAATTCATTTGAAGATTTTGGTCACCCCTCTTTTGGCTTTTTTCCTTAAAATTTAACTGCAGGTATCGTTTAAAAAATTTTAAAATATTCTGTGACAAAATACGGATAAAAACAATAGTGGCTAAATAAATGTGTTGTAATAAATAATAAGATTCATACTTAATAAATAAATAGACAATATTGTAAGAGATTATAAAATATTATATGATTTTATCTTTGTTTATATATTTTAACACGAATAAATACGAAACCCAAAAATGCTTTTACAATTAAATTAATTTTAAATAATATTAAAAACAAGGAGATAAAATGTCAGAAAATGTGACAAGCCTTTTATTATATAATAAAAGATGTATTTTTCATCATAACAAATAATCAAGAATTATATTTATAAGTTTCAAAATTATACTTATATTATGATTTTTTTTAAATTTCAACATAGGTTAGTGTTAATCTCTTTTTATATATTGTACAGTGCCGCTATTATAGAAATAGTATTAAATATTGTTGAAAATATAATTATTATTTTTATCTCCAATTTTTCAATCATTTTATTTTATCTTTCACATTGTTGGCTAAGTTCAGCCTCCCACCTCTTACCCTACATTACACGGATATAAATGTCAAATTATGAACGAAAGAAAGTCTAAGTTTATTAATATAGAATTACTTATACCTTTTTTTAAATGATATAATATAATACCAAATCATTCCTCAATTATCACATAATGGATAAATAAGTTTTAATCAACTCAACAAAAAAAATATATTTAATATAATAATTGTTTTTGTCTCAGTTATTTTAATTAATTTTGTTTATCTATAAAGCATAAAAATCATTGATCAAATTCAATTAAAATCTGAGACTTTTTCTTCATAATATCATATAATTATTACGTATTTTTATTTTATTTATCCGAAAAACGTCCCCAAATATAAAAAAATATATTATATTACTTTTATCTAATTATAATTATAATTATCATTTTATTATTTTCCAGTTAATTATTTTTATAGTTTATTATAAATGTTTTTAATTTTAAGCATAGACACCTTTTGTTTGCCATAAAAAATAAATTTTATTTTTTAAAAAAAAATTCAAACATTTTAATTTCAAAAAATTTTCATTTCCTACTAAAGAAAATATTTTTGTAACAAGGTAAAAATTTTTAATTTATTATTATTCTAGTATATCATATTAATGTAATAATTCTATTTTCATTTTTATTCTACTTAAACTCTCAAATAAACAAAATTCCTAAGATTCCAATCAAAATGCAGTGACTATATTAATCATTTTTGATATTTTGTTTAAAAAAAGAAGGAAGTATGATTATTTGCTTGAATTCTTGAACTTTTTTAAAAAAAATTATGTTCCTCAAGATTGAGCCATTTTCTTCTAAAAACATAGCAAATCAAAAGAATGTTTAATTCATACTTTTGATTCTTTCCAAAGCATAGTTAGGCAATTGTTACTGCTTTAGCTCCTATAATGAACGTATTTATTTTTATTTTATAATTTTAAAAAGTTTGATCATACCGCATTTTTATCATTATGACATATAAAGAAAAATTTTAAATTTAAATTTCCCAAGTGCTGCTAACGCCTAACTTTAGCCAACTCCAAAACCAGTTCCAAATTGTTATAACGCTAACTTACGGAATTGATATTTATGAAATTAAGTTTGTAATAATTGGGTTTTAAGTTTTTTTTTACATTTTAACACAGATTAGTCTTTTGATACATACAAATCTATTTCAACATCGTCTTAATCTTCAAATTAAAGGGCTCAATCTAAATGTTTAAGTCCATCTTTTATGCTAAAAAGCTTTACTCTATAGGAGTTGGGAAAATTTAGGGTTATTTAACAAAGAACACTATTTCCTTATTTAAACTATATACATGTTATTATATCAAACAAAATAAATATCAAAAAAAATTTATATCAGATGGAATCATTTAAAAATATGTTCGTAAATTTTGGCTACGCTTTCAAGCTAACCCAGACAACTCTATTATTACTATTCTTGATTCAATATTCATTTTGTCGGAACTGGGTCCACCCAGACCTCTCTATTGAGGACAAAAAATTGTAAGTTTTCAAATAATATTATACTTTCATTACATTTTATATATGTCTCATCTAACTAAGTAGATCCCCTCCAATAAATAATCGAATATAATAAGATATTCATATAAAATTATGATATTAAATATTCATCTTAAATTTTAAAATGAAAACCTACATAATTTATATTGAAAGCCTAATAAATAATTCTATTTGAACAATGATTTCCATTAAGATATATTATTAGTATTAACGGAATATTTCCATATATTAATAAATTTTTTAAACATCTCATATTTTGTACATTTGTGACTTCTTTTCACCTCTTTATCGAATATTTTTGGATATACCACAAATAGTTTCATCACAAATCCAATATTTCAGAAAATTTTGCATTGGAATCTTATCTTTTTGAGATTTGATTTTTTTAATCCAAGGAGTTGGATAGCCTGCATTATTTAATCAAAATTTAACTTTAAAATTTTAAGCATAAAACAATCGAAGGCGACAGTATTAAACATGAAAAATAATATAAACCTTAAACTTATCTAAAGATATCTTTACGATCAATTTGATTTATATTTTGATTTGTAAAAATATTGTATATCCATAATAATATAATATATTGATTATACCCTTAATATATTAGGGCATGTGAGCTTTTATAAAATTTATAAATAATGTCATTACAACATTATTCGCACTATTAGAAATTTTTTGAAAATTACTAATGAAAACAAGATTAATGGTTATCTTAATCTAATATGATGGGTAGCGTGATATATTCATGGTTTTCAAATATAATAAAAATTTGTTGGGCTTGATATGATTTAAATTTAATTTATTAACTGATCAATATTCTCATAATATAAAATTTAATGAGGAAAAAATGATAGTTATGAATGGTGATCTAATTTGATTGGTAACATAATATATATTAATGGTTTTCAAATATAATAAAAATGTAGGACTTGATATGAATTAAATTAAATTAATAACTGATACTACTCATGTATTAAATAAAGGTAGATTTGTCTTGAGAGGAAAGATTTCCTATATTATTTGAAAAAAACTTATAGTATATATTAAATATAATAGAGTAAAAAGAAAGATTTATATATTTTCCTTCTTTACTATTTTTCAGGGATGTGAACCCTTCGACAAAAAAAAAGGGTCCGGGTTCGGGTCCGGTAATAAATTTAAAAAGGACCCGGGTCCAGGTTTCGGGTCCGGGTTCAGAGGAAACATAAAAATAATGACTCAAAATAAGACTTTTTTTCATTCATTTTTTATTATACTTCAATATATACACATTTATAATTCGAAATGAGATAATTTATATTTTAAATATTTTATTCAATCGCACAATCATGATATCTTCTAAAATATCATCCCTCAGATTTCCACGTAAATTAGTCAACGATGAAAATCCACGTTCTACGCTTACCTAAAATAGATAGTCATTTTTATAATACATAAATTATTGTACTTGTGTCGCCGGTACAGCCATGACGATTCTATAAAAGGTATATAATTCTGGATATATTGAAGAATTTTCCTCCCAGAATTTTAAAATGTTTGCATCTCTATTTATTTTATTCTTATAACTTCCGAGAACTTTTCTATTAAAGATACAATAGATATTTTTTGTTCCTTTCTATCAGATGATAATTTAATTTTTTTTCTCTATCTAATAGTAAAATTTCCAGATCATCAATATCGTTATCATTATCATTGTTATCGCTACAACCATTAGATATTGTTGTAACCACCAATGTATTGTAAATAATAGAGTTTTGAGTATGCCATAAATCTTCAAGATGGTCTATAGGCATTTGTTTTTGCTCACTACTTAATAAAACCTGATATCGCGGGTCTAAATATATCGAATCATATACAACACTATTTTGTAAATATTGTTGCTCTCTTATTTTCGTATTTTCTAATACTTCATTTGAAAAAGAACTTGTTAATCTCCCTAACTCTAATCGACATCTTAACCATATGCCATAAAAATTCGATAAACATAATTGTTCAGCTTGCACTCTTAATGTTGTTATTTTTAAAGGAACCAGCACACTAGTAAGCTCTTTTACTTGATTCCAATCATCTTCTGAAAAAATGATTTCACATGCTCCTATGATAAAATCATTACAGAAATCTTTCAAACTTAATAATCGCTCTAGCATCATACACATAGAGGACCAACGTGTGCAATCTAAAATTGCCATTTACCTTTTCATGGATTTTAATATTCTAACAATTGTGGGAGTTCTTAAATATTTTACAACATCCCTTGCTTTATCAATTATAGTTTTAAAGTGACTATTTTTTAGGGAGATTCCACGAAAAAAATTAATAAAATTATAAAAATTTTACATTATTAATTTTATTAATTTTTAAAAAATATATTTTTACATTAATTAAAAAAAAAGAAATTTTAAGTTAAAAATTTTTAACACCCTGAACCCTTGGACCCTCCATTTTTTAAAAGGGTCCGGGTCCAGGTTCAGCCAAAATACGAGGGCCCAGGAGGGTTCAGTGTCCGGGTCCGGGTTCACATCCCTGCTATTTTTGTATTATATATGATTTATTCAATTTTAAAAACTCTACTTTATATCATTTTTTTTGGAATATCCTATGTGACTCGAAAAATTAAATATAAGTTTGGACTTAGATATCAGGTAAAAGGTAGGTACTTACTATTAGAATTTAGAACCGGAAAAGGAAATATTCTAACAGGGATAAATATATGAAACAGAACCTGGAACCCCTTAAAATATTAGGAAATGGAATCCATTTTTTAAATTTTCAGGAAACGATTCTGAAACTGGTTCTGACAAGAGTTCAAGCAATTTATATATATAGTATATATTATTCAAAATGCTGTTAATTCAATTTAGCTAGATAAATCCTTATTTTTTGGTTTAAGTGACTATGAGTATCTCCCAAGGACATAACACCTATAAGTTTTTCTAATACATGAGGAGCGAGATGGATAATAATAGCAAATCTTATGAAAAGGGAATGGGGGAGGGGAGACCCGATTAAGATTTTAGCCAATAGAATATTATGTAAGCCTCGAGAACAAATAGAGGTCCAAACCTTTCTGCCACTACATAACTTTACCTTTATAGTTTAATAAAGATTTTGGTGGATAATCATTATTTGGCTTTACATTATACTATAAAATAAATGCATTAATTAGACATAGTCTGCACTGGAATATTTTTTTTTTAATTAAAATAAAATTAAAAAAATAGGAATATATAATTAATTATGGTAGTTTAGTTAAGTTATTTTAAAAAAAAAAATTGAATTTTTAAATATAATGTATAAATGTTACTAATATTTATATGTAACAATATTGATTTATTCTGGATATATTTGCGATAAATTTTAAATTAGTCTCAAAGTTTTTACGCGTCTAAGTGTCTAATTAAAAATAAATTAAACTTATATATCATATAAATAATAAAGGAACGTATATTGTCATGATAAAATATAGTAGGTGAGTTAACTACATAAACGGGAATGAGTGGGTGAATTGACAGTAGAGATACGCAAAACAGAAAAAATTTAGTCTAGGTCAACCATCACCCAAATGGATTTTTTTTTGAATCTCCGTTGTAGCCCGTTGAAACTCCCAGCCCGAATTTTAAAATATTAGTTTTTAAGGAGGAAATCTCAAATTATTTATTTTTTTCTCTACTTTAATTTGCATTAAATTTAAGCATTCGAGCAATAGCTTTGATAAAATTTAATGTCTTATTTAAAATCTATTTATTCTATTAATAAGAAAATATGACATGAATAAATAAGTATTTTCTACCTCCTGTATTTTTTTTAAAATTCATTTTATAATTGTCATCTGCAATTTAATCAGGCAATAAAAAAAAGGAAGAATAGGAAGAAAATATTGTTATTTTTTTTAATACTGCCCAGAACGATATTTATTGATCATGTTTGCATTGGCTAGGCCTTACAGAACTTTAATTGTTTGGGCGTTAAAAAAAAATCCAAAAAATGAAGATAAAACACCCCAAAATCATAATTTTGAAAAAAAAACTATATTCCAAATTTTATCTCTATTTAAACGGCTCGATTGAGCGGATAATTAAAAATGGGTTAACTCAATAGTTTACCCAAAAAATTATTAAGCCTAAAGATTTTGTTCATAGATAGCACAATGGTTTGGATATCGGTTATTAAAATCTCGAGGCTTAAAATATTGAGTTAGACGTTTTCAAATTGAGCCGATTAAGCAATACCATCTTTATTCCTATGTTTTACTATCTTGTGATTTTTATTTTTATTAACTACGAACAGATGCTTATAATCGAGTTAGGCTTGAAAAGTTTCCATAAGAAAATATGAGGCAATTTAATTTATAAAATTTAAACCGGAAATAAATGTTTAAAAAGAAAATAAAAACTAAAAAAACGATTTTAATTTATAAGATTCCATATAAATAAAAAATAAATTTGTAAAAAAAAATCGTGAGAGGTTGGCTAGGTTAATGGCATCGTGGATTTTATATACTCTGAGATCTACATATTGGTTCTTTTGGGACATTGAATTCATGATGATTAGGAATCACTCAATTTTTAAAATTCGATTTAACCGGAAATGTATACCAGCATGTGTAGGACACATAGCAAAATAGTGTTTGAAATTCATAATGTGGGTTTACTCATATTAATGCTTGAATACATTTTCCTACCAAATCCGATTTTGTTAAATATAAAAATGGCCCTTAGTAAAATGATTTTAAATTGAGAGATTTTCCGAATCCATAAGGATTCCATATTCCAATATGAAATACCCTGCAATCAAAGTTAGCACAGAATCGCGGCGGACGAAGTATACAATATAATAATTTTACATTAACATTTTGTATACTTAGCCTCGAATTCGAGGGTAACTGTGAATACAGTGATACACATCATTTCCATATTCCATTACAACATATACATAAGCATATAAAATAATTCTTATTATAACTAAGAAGTGGCAATATACCG